TTTTCTCCTTGCTTATAAGTGTAAGTCCACAATGCAACCCACAAAAACATCTCAAGTTAGCCCCATCAAGAGGAACTCCATTTAGTGTGTGAAGATGAACTTGAAAATTCCGTTGGAAGATGAATAGGGATTGAGATCTAGGCTAGAGAACGAGAGATGAGTAATGGAGGAGTGAAGTCGAAGAAAAATCTTATATAAGTTAAGAGGAAAAAAAGAGCTGTTATTGTTGGAAATTTATCAAAAAATAAGATTATAGTATGAAATAAATCCGAAATCAAAATAAATAAGAGATAAGAAAAATCAGGCCTGACGGGAGCAGTCGTGTATTCACTGTCCTAGAAGATTGAGAACCCGCCTATCGCCCTGGCGCAAATGGTTCTCTCCCCCCTAGCGGTAAAAGCCCCTGGAAACAGCCGACCTCCGTACTCGGGCGAGAGTACAGAGCTTCAACTCAGATGAAGAAGATTGCCCAAAAAAAATAATAACAAAATTTATAGAGGGGAAAAACAATTTTCTTTAAACCAGATGAGAGGAGAAAAACTTTATTTTCTTATGTTTTAGAATGTGAATAAGGGTGTATTTATAGGGTTGAGGGAGAGAGGATTCTTTCTAATTTTCCGATGTGGGACTAAAACACAAAGGCAAAATTATCTTTTCTTAATAAATATCCAACAGTCCCCCCCCCCAAAGGCAATATTGACTAAAAACTCAGAAATCAATAAATAAATCAAGAAATCATAAAAAAAATATAGGTTGGGCAACCTTACGTATCGTGAATTCGGAAGAGGTAGCTTTCGGCGCCTTTGAACCTTTCCTTAGTGAGTTCATCGCCACCTAAGAGACATAATGGACTAAGCCTTGAATTAGGCACATTGAATCAGGTATTGATAAAAACACACACAATATGTCTTCATCTATTGAGCAAAACGGGTTGAGCGTTAAAGGCCATGCTCACAATAAACCGACTCATGAGAGTTTCTAGGGGTCAGCCCAGCCCCCCCTAATCGCAGCCATCACGGTTCCTCTCACGTAGGTAAGTCCTCAAAGGGTACTACAGCTGTTTATTTAATACACCCCCATAATACACACGTTGGACTTATTAAGAGTAAAACTCAGCCTAGCCATCTGTATCATAAAAGCATCGTCATCATAGAGAAGGGGTAGTAGCGAAAGCTACATAGTGATATATGAATATATTTGGGTCGATGCTCCACACGAGTGTCACTAGTCCAGCTTGTTTCTACCACATTGAACCAACATTGGGACTACGTCTCCAAATAAGGGTTGGGTTGCCGCTGTCAGTGACCTCATCTATGGGCTTAACCCCATCTCCCTCGATAAATCCAGAACTAATCCCTTAGTCAAAGGGTCATCAAGATTCTTTTCACAGACTTTACAAAGTCTAGAATCATAACTTTGCCTAGCAGGCGTTGTATTTATTTATCAAGTTCTTATTTTGTAATTAGTCCATCATATTGTTTGAAATTGACATTAGGTCATGGTCTATGATCATAAAAGATTGAAATTGACATTAGGTCATGGTCTATGATCATAAAAGATCATAGTCTATGTCTGAAGATGTAAACACGTAGTATTTGTGCAGATTAGGATTTGAACTTAATATTTGAATATTTCAAACTAATGTGGAACTAAAATTCTGCAGTTATGCATATGCACATACATGAATGAAATTAATAATAGATACATGCAGAGCATTCAAGAGAATAATATATTTCATACTTCATAATTCATATGCATAAAATTTTTAAAAAATTCTTCTATTATAAGAGGTTACAAATTGGTTGCCTACAAAGGAGACCGTCCAAATTTAAATCGGTTGCCTACAAATGAGACCTTCCAAATTTAAATTGGTTGTCTACAAAAAAGACCTTCCAAATTTATGTTGTCATTTTCTAGTACCACCTCTTATACAAATAATAATAATAATATTTGTACATACGTGCTTTAAATTTTAAAAGTGCATTCTTGCATAAAACCTTATAATTAATCATGTAACAAATGCAAGTTATCTAAAAGGACATATGAACATTTATTGCAATATCCATCATAACGCAATAAAAAAGATGAACTTTACATTTGAAGATTTGAAATATAATCCACCATATAAAATAGAATTTTAAAAGATGCACCTCTTTGATTTGGTTCGCTCATGAATTGATCATTTATCATTAGGCAATATATGATGCAAGAAGCATAATTAAATAAATGCATATGAATTTTTTCTCATAATTCTGGTTCCTCTTATTCCTAACCAAAAACTCCTTAAGTGAAAAGATTAAAGTTTTACCCGGGTAGTTAGCCAGGTAAGAATAGTACTAGAGGTTGATCAAAGATCAATTAAATACATCGTTCCTTGCAGAGCGCGTTACGCAACCCCTAAATCTTGTCTTAGACACCAACTAATCCAAGAAAACTTGAATCGGTTCACTCAATGAGTTTTTGTTCCTTAACATTATATAGAAACTTTAAAATATTTCCTACAAGCATTTAATTTGCCAAGTAATTATACTGCAAACATATGTTGGATAAGGTCGAGGATGGGTTTACCTATTGATGTTCGAACCTCATGATTTTTATGTCTTGAGAGTAAAAACTCATCTGCTGCAGACAACTGCCACTTAAGTTGGGTTCGGGTCGGTTTGAAAATTTTTCAACCCGAACCGACCCGAACCGACCGAATATAGTGCAATACTACTCATTCTGATATCAAATCCTGCACAATCCATCCCTAAAGAGTCAAAGACTCAAACCCTAAACTCATTTTCTGAATCATTATGGGTTGAAAACAATATCATTATATCAGTGTTTAATACTTCATAATCTCCTACTTTGTTGATATCTTTTTTTTCTTTAACACAGTTTGTTATTTGATAAGAAGTTTGATGAAGTTAGAACCGAACAAACCGAACCGAACCGTATCGAACCGACTTGTAACAGTTCGGTTCGGTTTTGAATTATAGGCGGTTCGGTTCGGTTGTTCAAATTTTGATAAAAACCGAACGTTCGGTTTTGAATTATAGGCGGTTCGGTTCGGTTGTTCAAATTTTGATAAAAACCGAACCGAACCGACTGTTGCACACCCCTAGTCAAAACCATGTTTATGAGGCTTTCAAGAAAAAAATAAGTACACCGATACAAATTTTATAGACATGTTTCATTGAACATTACAAAAGAGTGCATATTCACTGGCACAAGGGGAGAATGGTAGGTTTTAGAGGATTCTTACATATATAAAATAGGTTTTAGAAACCAAATTATCATAGAACAGTAATTGTATTTTTATGAACAAAGAAGAATAATAATCTGATGAACCATGCTCTATGTAAGCATTAAGCAGATTTTTTTAAATAAAATGAATATTAAAAAAACTATTTTTAAATGAACAGTAATGTTTTTTTAATTGAACGGTACCGTTCTTAAAAACAAATGAACATTATAGTTTTTATTTTTAATTAACAGCAATTAAATAAATACAATAAATGTAGTATTTATCAATAATTAAAATTAAATAAATACAATAAATGTAGTATTTATCAATAATTAAAACCGTTAATTACATATTTAAAATTATTTTGGATTAACTTCAAATTAAATTTGAAATTATCAATAATTAAAACCGTTAATTACATATTTAAAATTATTTTGGATTAACTTCAAATTAAATTTGAAAAGAAATAATTAACAGCAATTAAAAGCAATTAAAAGCAATTAATTGCAGCAATAAATTAGATTAATTACTAGTTAAGAACAATTAATAGTAATTAATTTATTACAGTAACTATTTGATTATAATAATTAAATCGGATGAACAGTAACTGTCTCGGGTGAACAGTAACGATCTCGGATGAACGGTAACGGTCTCGGATGAACGGTAACACAACTGATTTTTTTTATACAATTAATAGATAAGCAAGAAATTAGCAGTAATTTTTTTAGCAGTAACTTTTTAAATGAACAGTAAATACACGATTACCATGATTTTTATGAACATAAATTTTTCGGGTGAACAGTAACCGAAAACAATATTTTTTAAGCAATGTTAACAGCAGATATATGAATAGATCTAAATCAACAGTAACAGAAAAGATGAATTTTTTTCGGGTTTAAATCAAAAGCTATAAACTTCTCAATCTTCTAGATTGTTGGAAATTTATCAAAAAAATAAGATTATAGTATGAAATAAATCCGAAATTAAAATAAATGAGAGATAAGAAAAATCAGGTCTGACGGGAGCAGTCGTGTATTCACTGTCCTAGAAGATTAAGAACTCACCTATCGTCCTGACGCAAATGGTTCTCTTTCCCCCTAGCGGTAAAAACCCCCGGAAATGGCCGGCCTCTGTACTCGGGCGAGAGTACAGAGCTTCAGCTCAGATGAAGAAGATTGCCCAAAAAAAAATTAATAACAAAATTTATAGAGGGGAAAAACAATTTTCTTTAAACCAGAGGAGAGGAGAAAAACTTTATTTTCTTACGTTTTAGAATGTGAATAAGGGTGTATTTATAGGGTTGAGGGAGAGAGGATTCTTTTCAATTTTCCGATGTGGAACTAAAACACAAAGGAAAAATTGCCTTTTCTTAATAAATATCCAACAGTTATGTCCACTAATATTAACCGTTAGAGAAGATGAATAGTGTTCGGTTCGGGTCCATCGGGTTTAATGAGCTTAAGTGGGTTTGGGTATGAGGTCTAGGGATATGACTGTCCTAACAAATCTATTTTTAACCCAGAGTAACCATAGGATTAATATCAATATATTTATGCAATTTAGGGGACTATGTCAAAATAGGAGTGATGTAAGGGACTAATCGAAAAAAAAACCCTTTATAGAAGTCTGGGAGATTTTATTTAAAACTTCCCAAAGTCCAGGGGCTTCGTTATGAAATTTGCATGCAACTTTACAATTTACAAAAACTAACAATCAGAAGGACTATTCTGCAAAAGATCGTTGATACATGTGTCCGATTTTAGCTGCTAAAAACATCCCACCGTTTCAAAAAACTTCCCCCTTTTTTGTTCTCTTCCGCCGATCCTCCGCACCTTTTAAACCCCCTAAAAAACCTACAAACCCTAGAAACCATCACCATCTTCAATCAATGGCGGAGGATCAGACGGCGAGCAGGCTGTTCCGAATCCGGCGAACTGTGATGGAGATGCTCAGAGATCGAGGGTACTTGGTTGTGGATTACGAGGTAAAGATGAGCAAAAATGAGTTCTTGAACAAGTTCGGCGAGGGCGTGAAGCGAGAGGACCTCATGATCAGCAAATCCAAGAAGAACGATCCAACCGATCAGGTCTAATTACTTAATTCTAGTTCAGTTGGCAGTAATTTTTGTTTGATTTCTTCTAATATCGTGGTAGTTAGGGTTTTGGGTAATTGCTCTGTAAGAAATGGTTCTTTTTTATTGATCGATTGGTTGAATTTAAAATTTCGGATATTAGTTATTGACTTTCAAGAAATAAATCATTGTTGTTGCTTGGTAACGTTGACTAATTCTAGGCTTGTTCGTGTTACATGTGTAAGGGAGGGTTTTGTTTGAAGGGTTTTTTTTTTTTTTTTGTGCTGGTTGATTTTTAGGAAGAAAGTTTGTGTTTTTTTTTCCCGAATAGATTTGGGTAGTTTGTGATTTTAGAGGAAAGGACGTTCTGTGACGTTGCATGTAAGAGGAATGACTTAATGTGCTTATCTTTTATTGTTTTAATGGCTGCATTTAAATTGCATGAACGTTGGTTGCATTTAAATTCAACTACCAGTAATTTTACTTTGTTTCTTTGAATTTCGAGGGAACTCGTTTTTGGGGTTGGCACTGTTGGGTAGTTTGATGTTTTGGAGAAAGGGTTGTTATTGCGGTGTTGCATGTAGGAGAAATGGCTTTGTTTGAAGGGTCTGTTTTGAATGATTTTTAGGAAGAAAGTGTTTGGCCAAACTGATATCAAGGGTCTGTTTTGAATGATTTTTAGGAAGAAAGTGTTTTGGCCAAACTGATATCGGGTTATTTTGATTTTAGAGGAAAGGTGACTTGTCACGAAGTTGCATGTGAGAGAAATCACTCAATGTGGTTTCCGTTTAAATTTCAAGACCGTTGGTTGTCTTTGGTGTTTGGTAATTACTATTTTGAAAAAAAAAACAGTGAGTTGTGCTGTTGCATGTAGGAGAAATAGGGCAATATTTGAAGTTTTGTCGTATTTGATGATTTTTAGGAAGAAAGTGTTTTTGCCAAATCGATAAAATGTCAATTTCTGTTAGAAGAAAGGTGACCTCTTGCGAGGTGGTGTGCAAGAGAAATGACTCAGTGCAGTTTCCTTTTGCTGTTTGAATGGTTGCTTTTATATTTCGAGATTTTAGCTATTGAATTTTTTGATAGAAAATCAGCGTTGTTGCTTGCTATTGTTGGGTAATTCTTCGTCTAGAGGAAAGGTGAATTCTTATGATGTTGCAAGCAGGAGAAAGGTATTGATGTAAAGTTTTTTTGTTATATTGGCTAATTTTAGAAGGAAAATCTTTTTTTAGAGGAAAGGCGATTTCTCGGGGTGTTGCATGCAAGATAAATGACCCAACGTAAAGCTTTCTGCCATACAAGATTAAATATCTAACATGATAATGCCGAAAGTCATGATTTCCTATTAAAGTAACTCGATGTAACCTAGTGTTTAGCAGCATGTCCCACGCAACATCTAACTTCCTTTATTCATTCTGTTTTAAATAGGTCTATCTAAATTTCAAGATCAGGGATCTTACTTTTGCTTTAGTTCAGTACTCTTGCCATATTGGTACCAAATAACTGCTTCTAGACAAAGGTCGAGTTTCAGAATGTTGCATGTAACTATGTAAGAGAAATGGATCTATGTAAATGTTTGTTGTTCCAAGTAGTTGATTTCGAAAAATAATTGGTTTACTCTTTATTTATATTGTTCTTATACCTGTTTTATAAAGGAAAGTCTTCAGTGTGTTGCATGTAAGAGAAATAACTCTATAATATAGTTCCTGAGATGATTAAAAAAAATCAAAAGGAACTACTAAACTTCCTATTTCATTCTATTTGACTTATCAATTCATCAAAGTGTTAAGTAGCCCCTATTTAGTGGCATGTCTGACGTGAATCAAGGCTAGATGTTCTTTGTTCGTTCTATTTGGATGAGTCTTTTTGAAAGTTCAGATATAGAATTTCATGTTTTACTTCTTGTTAGTTCTCATATCATTAGAAAGAAAGTTGCAGTCTTACCATACTGGTAGTGAACAATTATGCTTTTAGAAGAAAAGTGAATCCTCACGATATTGCATGTAAGGAGAATGAGATGCATCAAGATCCTTGTTGTGATTACGGAAAGACATTGATTTTTTTCTTGCCATAGTGATATTGAATGATTTTTTTTAGAGGAAACCTGAGTTTGTGAGTTTTTTTGGCATATGAAAGAAATGACTTTATGCTAATCCTTACCATATTAGATGATGTGTAATCTAATATAATCGTAGCGAGCTACAATGCGGGACATAAAGTCTCCTTAAGCGCACCATGCCCAAGATGATGCACACATCTCTGTGAATGAGACGCATACATTATTTTTCTAATACATATATCAAACCAAAAAGCAACATGTTTATGAACTTTGATATAAAAAAGATGCCAGAATAAATAATTTCACCTATCAAATCACAATATGAGGTCGTAATTCATAATCGTAACAATAGTTAAAAGAGAGTTAATGATACTTTAACATTGTCCTCCCTATTTCCAAAAAATTAGTCATAGCGAAAACATTTCAAAGAAATTTTTCTTTGAAATCATACATCCGGAATTACTAACATTCTAAGAAGCAGAACATCTACCATAACCTATTTAGATCCTGATTTAACAATGCTTCCTACACATAAGTCAGGACAAAGAAGACACATAATCAAATTCTAATTAATAATTATTGATGTCATAATATCTAGAATAATTATTTATGATTTCACAAGATATAGAAGAAGCAACAACAATAAAAAAAGAAAAAAAATGAAGAGATGAAGTTGAAGGACAAGAATATGGGGAAGAAGAGAAAGAGAATGGGGAAACACTGTCAAAAGAGAAGGCAAAGAGTAGGAATAAAATGATGTAATAGCAATAGTAGGAGGCAGCAAGGTGCATTGAAGCACACCAAGGCGCATCAAGGTGTGAGGGCACAATGTGGTGCGTGCTCCGCGAACACGATGTGCCCTGCATAGCCGTACCTCATGCAAGGAGCAACGCCCCAAAGTGGCCGGCAGCCAACGCTATCACTCAGTATTTTCAGGACAACACTAATTAGATAGTGCAACCAAAAAAAAAAGAAGAAGCTCCTTCCGTTGATCCAACATGCAGAATATTAAAATGCATTTAAACTAATTCGGTGTGTACCCTACAATAGTGTCTTGTTCCATGTGCACCAGTGATGAAAATCCTTGGATGTATTGCTCTGCAGAGCAATGGCATGAGATAATCCTCGGAATCAGGTCCCATGCTTGTTGCTATTTGAAGTAGTATTGGAGGTTTCTTTTGATCCCAAAAGTGTTTCTTTTTATTTTTTTAATTTAAATAATCTATTTATTGCTTGGAGTTTTAGAGAAAGAAAGGAAAAAGTGATAGATTTTAGAAAGAAAATGAGCAATTTTGCTATATTTGTATCAATCAATGTTTTTTAGTGTTGGGTCCTTGTGATGTTGTATGTACTGATAATAGCTATGTGAAAGTTCTTGCCGTAATTAGATGAAGTGATGGATAAGATATCAAAACATAAAGAGAGTACCTCTGGTTTTATTTGATCCTACATGTAGCTTGTGAAAATCATGAAACTAAGGCAATGTACCTCCTAGATAGTCTAGCAGGGATGATCATTTATTAGACGTGCTCTTATTAACTATAGAGAAAGTCGCTTGAGCATCAAGTCTCTTGTATCCCATGCATACCTGCCAAAATAATCTTAATTGTTCTTGGACAGCTTAGTTGTTTTGGGGTATTTTAGATGTAGATCATTGTTTATGTTAGTTAAGAGAAATATGGAATATTCATATTAGTTATGCACTCACAGTAGCAGTTTTGTGAAGGTGCAAGGTGCAAAGTAAGGCTCAAAGGCCTTAACATACCCAACTCACAAGGTACGGTTCAGATCTCGATTAAGTGAGATATGCGTCTCACTGAAGTGAGGCACAACCACAGCCACACATTTTTCCTTTATATCTTTAATGTAATAATGATTTAAGTAAGAGGAGCCAAAATTAATTGCATTATATGATGATTGTTAATATTGAATTTTAGGCAATTCTTTTTCATGTCGAGAATTTTTGTTCTCTAAGTAGCTTAGAGGCTATGATTCTGTAAAAATTGTCAATCAATGGGTAGAGAGCGATATTGCGTTAAGGCAAAGTAGAGAAAAGGAAGCAGAGAAGAGGATAGGACAATGAAAAAAGGACAGCGAAGAAAGATTAAGCAACCAACCACATAATGGAGAAACGAAAAATGAAAGAAGAATCATAATGAAAAAGAGGAAGAAAATTAGAAAAGGAAAATCTTAATGAGCATGCTAATAGTGAAGTAGAGAAAAGACGAAAAGCAAAATAAATAAATAAATAAAGGAACAAGAAATAGAATCTATATTATTAATAATTATTTTTATTGACGTATCTAGAATAATAGTTTGTAACTAAGTTGCATGGATACGAGTACATGTGCAGGTGCGAATACAGGTACATGACATGGCAGATTTCTAAAAGGTAGGGTATGAGGACACGGCTAAAACAAATGGGTTGTAGTTATAGTTCTGAGCTAGATATGCAAATGACCATTTGAAATCATGGTTACTCAACCAAATATCGGTTATAATGAACTCGACCCTTGTTTAACAAGTTTCAAAACTAGATGTGAAGTGTAGGATATATATCTAGGAAGTGTATGACAAGCGTTAAAATTGAAACATATATTGTATAATTGAGTATACATATAAATAAATGCATGCATATATTTAAGGAATGTCCAAGAAGTGTTAGGCATTGGTACACATACGGATACAAGACATTTCAGTTACGGGCACAACTTCGTAATAGATGTACCCATGTAACATAGGTTTGTAATTTCACATCAATGTGCTAGATATATAACAATAGCAACAATAGGAAAAAGGGTAAGAGGAGAAAGAAGAGTATACAAGAAAGGAGCAAGAGGAGAAAGAGAATAAGGAGGATATAAGAGAAATTGAAATAAGAGGAAAACAGGACAAGCAGTGACAATACCAGAATAGCATGGTGCATAGAGGCACAACAAAGCACAAAGCAAGGTGC